CCATTCGTAATTGCAAAATTACAAACCAATTAATTAAGTTAAAAGGTGAGGAAAAAAAAGTTTACGGCATAATAAATACACTCAACTATTTGTAATTACTTATATTAGTTTGTTACAGAGTAAATAGTATTTAAATCATATTAATGTAATGGCACACTTTTCGAATCGTAATTATACTTTATCATTTGTAATTGTGGCTTATTATTACAAAATAAATAGTATCATTTTCTTCTAAGAGTTTGTTTATATCTATCATGTAGTTGTACATTGTCTTTGTAAGTATTCAATATAATTTTGACAACATTCATCCAAAAAAAAAACCATTGTATTTGTACACATATAACTATAGAAGGAAAGATGTAACTATACAAGCAAGGATATCTCAAAAAATACAACTAACGTTAAGGTGCAATGAACTCAATCTTTCGACCTTGCCATATATTACCGTTTACAATATTCAAAATATCCAAATTAATGTTACCGTTGACATGACATCCCATCGAATTGATGCCGCAGATCAACAAGTATCAATTCAATAATTGGATATATATATATATATATATATTGTGTGTATCTCAAGTAGCTATTTTTTCTTAAAAACTCTAGGAAAAAAGTTCCAAGAAACTCTAAAAAAATGGATAAATTCATATATGTCAGCACTAGAGACAAGATAAATTCCTAAAAATTAAAAAAAATAAATCTTTAAAATTTATTAAAAAGAACTTGAATTTTAATATATACAGATGATCCTTATATTTTTGTTTCCATCAAGTAACATAGAAGATGTTATTAACGTTTAAATCTACTATGTGTAACGTGTCTTAAAATATTTTAAATATGCTGAATTAATATATAGAACAAAAATTTTAAACTTGAGAATGAAAATTAATTAAAATCTAGTTAATTTCATTGTGTATTAATCTATGTTTTCTTTTCTTTTTTTCTTTTTTTTCACATAAGTTCAAACTACATAACAAATAAATTGAGCTGAGGTGCCCAACACAAGATTTTCAACCGCACAAAGATGGACATAGGTATTCTATTATGATCATTGTCCATGTCTTATCTTTAGAATGCATCAAAAAAATTGACTTGTTGGGCTTGAAGTCACAATTGTTACCTTTTTTTAGTTTTTGTTAACAAGTTAAAACAATTTAGTCTAAAAAAATTCAATTTTTTTCGATTCAAATCTAATCATACAAACATGAATGACGTGTGATAATTTTAGCAGTTAATAATCATTTTTAATTAACTATAAACATCAATCTTATAATATTATGAGGAGATTCAAATTTTCTAATCCTTAGCAAAAAAAAAAAAAAAAAAAGGGTCTCTCAAGATTGTTCCACTTACACACCAAACTATATCTAAAACTCTATTTTTTTTTTAACTTGAACCCACTCAACATATGTCTTACTAACACTACTTGCTCCTCCTTCCACAACTCTCTCTACTTACACCCATTCTACTTAATTTGTTGAATTTTGTGATTTCTACATATTATAAGACTAACTCTTAATATTTTGATTGCTTTACCAACCAATTGTTTGATTAGTTTTCAAGAACCCTATATAGATTCTAATTGGATAAGGTAGGAAAGGAGCAAACCTTCTTGACCAATAGGTCTACAATTGGTAAATTTAAAATTGAAAAGTAACATCATGACGCACTGAATTAACTTATTTAAATCCTCAATTTTTATCTCAATATTTAATCTCTAATGTATTTCTCAAATTTTAACTACTCAATATCCTTTCGAATATTTAAGTCTAAAAAATATCTTACTTAAAATGAGATCATAATATTTTTATTTTATTCTTATAGTGATATTAATTCAATCTGTCATAGCAATAAGACTTTCATGTTCTACTAATCACTAATACTAATTTCTTGGCTGCCCCTGCTAATGTTGACTATAGAGTACCATCTTGGACGAGGAAAAAGAACACCCTCAAAATCGATCCTAAAATCTAAAACCCCATATGAATCTTGTGTCGCCTCTCTCTTCCCCTCTCGTACTATATTTCTTCCATGGCCTTGGCCATTTAATCTTGCTGAAAAGAAGACCTCAAGCCACCCCTAGTTTCACTAAAATTGATTTCCTCACATGGCAGTGGTCCATGAAAACTGTAAAATCGAAAATTGGCCTTGCATATCAGCAAATGCCTGCCGTGATGGATGGCGAGGTAGAAAATGTAAAAATGTTATTATTGGGATGTGGAATTTAAGAGATAAGGATTGCTATCTTGCTTCGAGATATATATATATATATATATATTCGTGAATTTTGATTCTAGATAATATGAAAATAAGCGAATACGCAAAGTATTAGATTCTAATATTCTTTTATATATATAGATTTTTTTTTTTAAGAAAAAAAGTTGATAATACAATAGAATTATTATGATTCAACGGAGAGATCAGCTTAATAAATGAGAGGTTTCTATTTAAGATACTGCTAAATTCATCAAATTGTTATTCTTACATTTAAAAAATATATATTATCAATAAACCATCCATCAATATTTGTAATTTAATAGTTATTTTAATAGTTATTGGTAATTGGTAAATGGTTTAATAGAATGTGTATTTGTAATTGTTTAGAAAAAAATGATGAAAATAATAATTTAGTTGATGAATTTAACAATATCTTTCTATCTAATATAGCATATAATGTTAATAGTATCATTATGAAGAAAATCGTCTATTTCATTCATAAATTTTATTTTTAAAACATTTTGATTTTTTTTTCAATTGCGATTAAAAAAAAATGAAAACCTAAATTTGTCGTTAAAGTTTTATATGTCGAGCAATGTTAGGAGTACATTAATACAAAATCTGTTTTACTATTATAAAATAAATGATAATAACAATAGAAATGAAGAGAAAAATGATGGAAAAGCGATTTTATTATGAAATAAAAAGAGTATAAAAGATAACAATTTTAAATAATTTTTTCAATCTCTTCAAAATACTTGTATACAAATTAATGAATAATCAAGCTTATTTACGGGCTTCAAGATTATGAAGAAAATTAGAAGAGATTATCAATCATTAAAAATTATGAACAGTAGAGATATAAAAAGCATGTGAATATTCATATAAAAATTCATTATTTTATAACATTTATTAAATATTGTGGCGATTGTTATGGGAATTTTTTTTTGAAATTATGGAATGTTAATGTTATCATATTTAAGGATGCAATAATAATTATAGAATGTATTAACTAATAAATCATTAATTACGTGTTGTCACCATATTTAGTAAAATAATCTTAGTAAGAAATTAAGGGACCTAGAAAATAACTCTGTTTTCTAGAAAAAACATCTGTATTGAAAATGGAAAATAAGATTTTGTGTTCGAATATGAATTTTTTTCATTTAAAAAATTTTAAAAACACACCTTTTCAATTCTTAACTTATAACTAACTTTGAAAAATATTGTTTTTATGTTTTTAAATTTCTCATATATATATATATATATATATATATATATATATATATAGAAAACGCTTGCGCGTTTCCTTCTTTTTGGATAACAAAAGCATACTTTATTATTTATGTCAAATTTTAAATTAATTCTATTTATAGTACTTTCTATTAATACAAGAGTTAATTCTGATTTTTTTTAATGATGTTGTTAATCATGAAAAAATAATTACAGTACTATGAGCAATTAATATCGCTTGCTCATTCTTGTAATAAATTACATTAAAGTTAATTTGTGATATTCTAAGAAAAAAATCTTTAAAAGTTAAATAAATAACAATGTAAAAATTTGTATAATTTTTCTTTTATTTGAACCTGTTTTTCAAATTTTAAAGTGAAAAGTAATTTTCCAAATTTATTGAAATGAACATATTTTCTATATTTTTCATATAAAATGAAAGTTGAAAATAGAAAAATAAACTAAAAATATGAAATGAAAAACTATTCTCTGCAACTAAACAATACCTAAATATCTCTAGCATTACTACAGTATGTTTGATAATACAATGCCATTATTTGGAGTAAATTATAAAGAAGTCCTTTTAGTTTTGAAAAATAAATTAATTAGTTTTTTTATTTTAAAACTTAATTATTCAGTCCTCTATTTTAAGTTCACTTCAAATCTATCAAATTAATATCTCATATTTAAAATATTTTTTAACCTATATATCCATTAATGGAGATATATTTAAGTGCTTAAGGAGAGAGAGGGAGTGAAGACTAATATAATGAGAAATAGAGTTTTGAAGAGATAAGTAAAGATTTGTTTTGATACTTGAGAAGAGAGAAAAAGAAAAAAATACGTGTGAATGAAAAAATATATATATAAAAAAATAATTTGGAAAAATAAAATATAACAATAAGGACATTTCATCATTGTTTTAATAAAAAACTGATGAAAGGGCTAAATTATTGATGAAATTAAAATATAAATAATTAAATAATTATTTTTTAAAATAAAAATTATTTATTTATTTATTTCTCAAAATAAAAGGGACTAATTTATAATTTACATCAATTATTTGATGGACTTTTTGGAGATTTAAAGACCATAAAAAAGGATGCAAAAAAATATGTTTATCAGCACAAAGGTACCTTAGAAAAACGATTACAATTGCAACATAAATTATAACATAGTATACATAAATTATCAAGACTAATTAATTAATCATTATAGTATCACGAATAATTATATAGAAGCATTGATTAATGTTGATTATTTTCAATATAATAGTTTTTAATAAAAAATACCTTCTTCTTTTTTTTTTTTTATCAAGCTTTCCATGATGTCTACTTTTCTTTTACTTTTTTTTTTTTTTCAATTGATGAAAAGAATATCAAATTAACAAAAAGATTAAGTCGCGTATAGAGAAACTATGAGGATTAACTAATTGATGAAAAGAATATCAAGTCCTATAAAAATGCCGACCTTGTGGCCACTGTCTTTCATCTTTTAACACAAGAACAAAATTTAGGCCTTCGAATTTGTTGAGAAACTGGAAGGCAAAAATGACAGTGAAGTTGGTGGATGCAACCATTTCAAGCTTTGGCAGTGCGTTTGAGAAATTCAAATCAGAAGCACCCAAAAACAAAGCTAATCTCATCCTCTTCTTGGCTGATAATGATCCTTCTACCAATCTCAGTTGGTGCCCTGGTATAAATCTTTTTATTTTTTTAAGTATTTTTGGAATTTATTTTCGTTTCTGGGTCAGAAAATGATGATGACCCATTACGTAATTCTTGTGGAAAATATGATCTTTTTGCAATTCCAAGCTTGAATTTTTATTAACTTTCTATTGAATTGTGAAGAGAAACAATTAGTCTATAATTAAGGTTTTTGTGTATTTCTGAGTTTATAAGGCTGATGGTATTTCTTTGATTGATTTTAACATTTTTAAGTGTGGTTTTTTCGATTGTTGCTGCCTTTTGTTTTTCCCTTTTAGTATAGTGAAAAGATTCTACATTTTTGGTAAACTAAATCTTGTTTTCTTTAAGAACAAAAGACGTGCTCAATGAAACTGCTGAGAATTTAGGTTCCAGAAACAGACCATGTCAAATGTAACTTGAAGCATTTTTTAAGTCTTTAATGTCATGTGCTTTTTCTGAATAAAAGGATATTTTAATTGATAAAGAAATGGGAATTGAGAGTAGAGAGAGAAAGTTAAGAAAACTTAAGGGAATAAGAACGTTGAGTGGTTTAGGAAGCCAAATGGTTTAAGAATATTGTGCGTATGTGTGTTTGTGAACAATATGTTTTGTCATGATACAAAAACTGAATTCACCAAATATTAGATCTGTAAACATATTTTCAGTTTGCAGTTGTTTCAGAAGCATTTTGCAATCTTAAGCTTCCCTGCTTCTTTTTCATCAAGTTCTATTATTTGTGTAAGATAATTTCACCAGTTGTCTTAATTGCTGAACTTCTTGGATGAGTTATTCAATGTTTTAGGGAGCTGGTTATAATGGAGTGTGATTGCCCACTAGAGAAGACAATTTGTATGCTTAATGAGTTAAGGCAAAATGAGCAGGCTATAATATAAATGGAGAATTAAGGGCTATAGAAGAGAAAAGCTCAGTTGAAATAATGGCAAAGCATCTCCTCTGCATCTTTAGTTTGTAGTTTGTGCCATTTGAAATGTACCTATTACTGTTCAAATAGCCATGGATGTAACTGTTTTAAATTCTTATAGAAACTGCCCATTTGGAATGACCTTCGAACCATTTATGGCTTATTATTGATGGTTAGAGAGGCAACTTTTTGGTCATTATTCTTGTGGAACAAGATCTTATTCTCTCACAGCTCTGCTGTTAAGATTACTTTGTTGGCACCTGAATGCCATCTTTAGCTTTATTTTTAGCGGCTTTTATGAAATATTCTGTTGAGTGAAGGACTTGAGGAATCTTTTATTCTATGTATAAAAAGTTTGTGCTGTTGGTACAAACTTGTGGATTTTATGAGATCTGAGTCACTTGGTTTGAGAAATATGACAATATTAGAATCCAGTATGTAATTTATTGATTGTTTTTGACATCTCTATCCAGATTGTGTGAGGGCTGAACCTGTAATATTGAAGAAGCTGAAAGCATTGCCAGATGATGTGGCACTTCTGCGAGCTTATGTTGGAGATAGACCAACATGGAGGAATCCCCAGCACCCCTGGCGAGTAGACTCAAGGTTCAAGCTTACAGGAGTTCCTACATTGATCAGCTGGGAGAATGATGCAGTCAAAGGTCGCCTCGAGGACTATGAAGCTCATCTTGAACACAAAATCATTGCCCTTGTTTCTGGGAATTGAATTAGCATTTTGCAGATTATGAGATGGTTGGAAATCTTAAATCTTACTAAGACTATCTGAACATCTACCCTATCAAGTGTAGCTTGTTAATCTTGCACCTTGAGCTTTCAAGAATCTATGAAAACTTATTACAATAAAGTGTAGTAATCAGTCCAAGAACACGCCAACAGCTTCATGATGATTTGATGTTCCAAGAAGTTACTTGCTTGGAGGAAGAAATCAAGAATGTTTACTTTTTTTTCTTTGTTATTTGTGTATGCATAAGAGGAATTGGTGCCTTTGGTAGATGATTGACTGTTATAGTTCTTCACTCGGTCACGATTAAACGCAATAAGCGATTTGAATTGGAATCTTGGAGAGTAAACTGCAATCTTATTGCCTAAGGCTCCCAAAATGAGAGTGAATCATGTTATTTCAATGTATTTGAAATTTCAATAATTTGGCTCATTGCCTTTGGGGCTTTGAGAGCAAGCTGCTAATTCAGCACTTTGGAGGCAAAGGCTCACAAAATGTGAGTGAATCATGTTACTGCTATGCATTTGAGTATTTGGCATTCCAATAATTTGGCTAGAACGTACTAAGACTGCTTTTTCTTCTTTTTCTTTTTCTTTTTTTTCGTAATGAGATATTTGGATTGGAACACCTTCTGTTAGCTTTCAGCCATTAAGTAAGACCTTCGTGAGATGTAAGTTTTGGTGGATAAGAGTTCATTCATACCAACCTTGAACTCAACCATCATTGGATTTGAGTGTTTCATGTCTTGAAAATTTTAGATAAAAAAGCTAAAACGCAAATTTATTTGAATTGCGGTTTATATATATATATTCATCAATCGAGGTTAAGTCTTATTTTTTAAGCTAAATTAATGTCAAAATACATTTAATTTTTAATTGACTATTGAGTTCTTTTTTAGATCAAATTAATTCAGACCTAATACGATAAAAAATAATTGTGACCAATTATCTTTAAATAGTGAGAATTGAATCTTAATTTTATCTGAATCAAGGCAAAATTTTTTGATAATGTTGTTGCCATGTGGAAAAGATTATTTTGGTAAGCTTTTTCGGAGGGATTTGATGGTTGCACTAATAAGAGTTTATGGTAAATGTTGTCATGAAAGAGAAATTTTATGGTACTAAAGAGAATAACTACCAAGTTAATGTTGTTCACAGATGGAAAAGATTAATTTGGTAATCTTTTGGAATGATTTGGTGGTTGTAATGATAAAAGTCCAAGGAGAATGACCTTATAAAAAAAATATTATAGTATTAAAAAATAAATACCCAAATAAGAGAAATGTTTTTAAAAAAATTTAAGCCTAAATAAAAATATTTTTATCACATTTAATAATTTTGGATACTATTATTATTTATTTTATTGTCTCTTATTTCAAAATAAAATCATAAAATAAACAGTGATAGTTACTATTTGAACATTTTAAAACTTCTCCTATGCAAAGTTCAATTAAGAGAGAATGAAATAATATATTGATAGTTACTGAGAGAGAAGATGCTAATATAAATGGTCAATAATTCAAAGAGCTTCTACCAATGATTTGGAGTTAGAGACTTGAACTGACTCCCACCAATTTTTCAAGAAGCCGTTCACTTCCTCTCTTCAGTTGCCGGTTTTCATCACTGCTTCGCTGAGGCATGAAAATACTATAGCACAACATATACAAGAAAAAGGATCTGAACCATTTTACTTTCACTATTTCTACCAGATCCATCAAAAACAAATTGAGAGAAGCAGAAGAGTGTGACGACCTATTTACTTTAAGTTATAATGCCTGGTTGATTACAATGATTTGGTACATCATTCCAACTTACATAACCCATCTCAGTGTGAGCTTTCCATGATCTCCATCACCATGCATGTTCTTTTTACCCTAAATTAAACCTAGTATCAAAGCTCATCCTAACAGCCATGTGGGCTTCTATTCGTCTTCACAAAATTCCACACTTGTATTCCTGCTTCTGTACAATCCCCTGCTTCTACTCTAACCTTTTCTTTTGCTTCGAACTCTCACTGCAATTCGTAAAACAGGACGGATCAACAGCCTGATAGTTACAAGTATTGCAAGCCATTTGAATATATATACTAGTTTCTGTATTCTGAGGGTGATTTACATTTTCCCGTTTCATTTCAGTAATCTGGTAAATTGACTATTAAACCAGGAAAAATAGCAAGTAAATTATCAACCACTTCCAATTAGCCTCAGAGAAGAATATAAATTCTGAAAAATAGCTTCTTAAGAGTCATACCTATACATAAGGCCTGCAAGGCACATTAAATAGCTTCCATAATTTCATAATTGGACCTTTGATAGCATCGAAGTCAGCTTCAAAACAATGTCACCATAAGGTTCCGCCTGTTGTACATCAATAAGGCCATAGCTCTTCAAAACCTGCAATTCACCGTGAAGGATCACATAATAATACCCATGGCAAAAGGAAATAAATAATATAAAAATCATCAAAACGAGAATCCTGCTGAAAGATATAATTGTTTTGATGAAACACAAATTTCAGGACCAAGCCACCATATTGGAACTAAGGAAAGTTTTCCAAAACAAGAACCATATGCCAAGGAGCCATAGACAACTCTAGGCTCTAGCTGTGATTTTCCAAACAATACTCTTGTCTCAGGATGAAAGATATAGCACTTAAAGATACATTGCATCTTTGACAAAACTGAGTACAGTAAATGTTTCATATTAATGCAATAGTTTCATAATAATAAACAGTACTAAGCAAATCATTTTCATCTTTCAACATAATTATGAATTGTTAGGTGGTTTATTTTACCTTAGGTACCTTAAAACTATCATTTGCAGAGACAGACATGACTTGTGAATACTTGTAGGCAAAAAGTTAGACAAGAATATAGATACAAGCTGTGTTTGAAGATTTGTATCACTGCATGTTATGTAACTGTGATTGTGCGACAAAGAAACACATTTATGGAAATGATTATAGCAATAATTGTAAGGCAAAATATATCTCTGGAAAAAAAAATTAATGAATGTACAAACATCATTCAAATCTGGAACAGAAGAAACTAGTAGCGGGCAATCAAGGAATTCAAATAAAGTGGGAAAGAATACAGCAACATATCTTTTGACGAAGTGATTTACAGTCAAGTCTGCAGCACAGACCTAAACACTGCACCATATGGAGAGGCTAATTTGCTTGGTTCCATATGAAGCCTCCATTTATGGACCGAATCAATATTTGGCAAGAGGTTAGTACAAAGGATACTGGAGAGGATCAAAAACATTCAAAAAGAAACCGAATTGGGCAGAAATGAATTTTGAACATGATTGGTGTTTTCAAGGAAACAAGCAAATGGAATCACAGTGAAATCTACCAAAGTCATTGTCTCTACTTTAATCCATATATAAGACCCCAATAACAGCTGAACTTAAGCTACTCTACTTCTAAACAGACATTTTAAGTGGATATATAGAAAAACCATTTTAAGAATGGAGACTAGCTGCACTCCAAGTAAGCATTCTCACTATCAACAGTGACATCTTAAAAAAGCATTAGGGGTTGGCATTCAATATTGTGTCATTATCTGTTTTTGGCTTAACAATGCAAGCTTCTTGATCAAGATTCAAAGTTGAATCCTCACTATTTGGCCCAATTCTACCCATAAAGAGTAAAAGACCATGTAACGTCTTAACACACTTTATTATCATGATAACAGGAATTGGAGCAGAGAACAATGACAGATTCAAAACACTTAAAAACAAGCATTATTTAAATGGAGCAACTTTCTTTCCTTCACGTTTTTCCTTTCATAAAAACATTTAGGCTGGGGTAAATTGAAAAAAGATCCATTTATGGACAAAATGACTTTGCAGCTTACCATTGTTTCAAAGAACATCCGAGCACATAACTTTCTTGTTTTTCCTTGTAAGATCTTGTTGAGACTGATATCTCCAGATGACTCCTCTGACAATGGGATAATGGGGGAATGTTCTTTTAAATATTTAGCCACACCCCTATATGCCAGCATAAAACAAATAAAAAGCTAGCTGATATAAACTAATAATTTTGAACTAACTGGAAAGGAATTTCCTCTAAGCATGGGGAAGAAAGAAAACAGACAGTACCTTGTCCTAACAGGCAATGAATCAATGTCTTGAGTACCTAGGGATCCTGCAACAAACATAATATGTTATCCACATATTATGCATGAAACAATAAAGTTGATGACTGTTTTTGTATATTTGATATCATTTAATTTCTAGGAGCCAAGAAAATATGAGCTTACCAACTGGTGTATTGTCTGCTTCTAGTATTTTACCAAGGTCCTACAAAAATACAATTTTGGAGTCAGGAGCATCATTAACTTGGTTAACTAGCTCAGAGAACAAGGTGTGAGAACAAGGCATTATTGAGCACGTGAACTTTATACTATATGTATCTACAATAATGAAAATGTAGCACATGAACATGCATTATTGAGAAATGGAGCATGAAATATCATGTATATGCCATACTTTCAAGTCAACAGCTTCAAATATTTTAGCTCTAAGGGTGACATGAGATATTCACAAGCAACAGTAACTAAAAAGAAAACACAATTATAGACACTGTCAATACGAAAGCATGGTGAAAAAAGGAGTAAGGAGTCCACGCTCACAATGCACAAGAAAATGAATGACTTACATCATCTTCTGCAGAATTCATCGATTCAGGAACATCTGAAAGCCCACTGTTTTGTTCGTCATACTGATAAGTTCCAGGGGATGCTGAAAAATCCGGTGTGCGCAGCACTCCAGTTGCCGTAGATGTTCCTTCCCAAGGTACTGTTTTGGATCCTAAACTGCTTGTTGGCATGTCAGAGAAATCATCTCTTCTAAGAGAAGGCATGGGTCTGGCTGGAGAAGGTAGGATTTCTGAGAAAAAGTCATTGCCATCATGGCCTCTGCAATCTCGAAGACGTTCGATTCCCATATCCATTTCAGGTAAAACATTTTTGCCATCAAAGCCTAGATCCTGTTGGGGATATTCATTTTCCAAACTAGATTCATGTCCTGGAACAGGAAATTGTGCAACCATAGGCTCCGAGATGTGTTCAGTTGTGGGATCTGTAGAGCTTGCCATCCTAGGCTCAGTAATGGCTTCAGTTTCAGGGCCAGGGGATGTTGCAACTCTATGTTCTGGAATAGCTCCCTGTTCAAGAATCAAATGAGGTTTTGTTGTAATATACTCCTTCTTGAAAAGATTGCATAAATCTGCACATGACCCTGGTGATTGACAAACATCAAAATTTCCTTGAAATCAGTTACACAACACTGAAGGTAATAAGCAAGAAAAAATTCATTGAAAGTAAGACCTGCTCACCAGTTATCAAAGGCTCATTAAAGATTTGTTCCTTTTCCAATCTATTGTTCGACCTCCATATAGCCACTGTAGAGGATGACCTCACCCTCCTGTTTCGCATCAGATCACTGGAATCCTCAAGAGCCCCCTTCATAAACCTATCAAAGTTTCATATACTTGTATCAGTCAGCAGTGCCATGGAAACAGTACCTCTATACATGCATCAATGACAAATCTTACCTATTAGTCAACACTGTGGCCTCATCAAAGAGCATCTTCCTTTTTCGCCTTGGCCGCGGCTGCTGAACAGGTGGAGGCCCTGGTTGTGATTGCTGAACAGGTGGAGTTGAACGAATGGCAAATTGCGGAGATATATTCCCTGAAATAAAAATAAGAAGCTCTTTCAAAGTAAGCACACAAGCCCCAATGACCCTTACCCCCAAGCATATAAGAAGTAGGCACTCACCAAATGATCCATGTGTATCAAAGATATCCGGAATATCTTGTGAAGCAGCAGAAGTAGGTGCTTTTGAATGTTGCTGAAATGGTAAAGGCTCTCCTAAAGAAGGTAAAGCACCTTCCATAATTGGAGAAAGAAAATCCTTCTCGGTTTGAACTTCATCTAAGGATTTATTACGTTCAGTTGCATCATCCCGTCTATCTGGACTCAATGGAGGAAAGTTTTCTGAGCCTAAATCATTGGCAGCATCACGCATAACTTCAATTTCTGGAGGGGAATTTTCTCTATTAAGCCTTTGGTTCAGAGTCTCAGTAGGTACTTCTGTCTGATTACTTGGACCAGGATCTCGAAAATCCCCAGCGTCCATCAGGACTTCTGTCTGATTACTTGGAACAGGATCTTGAAAATCCCCAGTGTCGATCGGGTCGTCTGGTTGATTACCTGGACCAGGATCTTGAAAATCCATAGCGTCCATAAGCACATCTGTCTGATTACTTGCACCAGGTCCACCCTCGTTATTTACAACTGTCTGAGTCCTTTGACCTGTATCTTGAGGAGGCAAATCACCTTTGACTGGAGGTGATGGATAGTTTCTGTAGTTATAAAAGGATGAATATTAGATTGATATCTCCATTGAAATTCCAAAAAAAAAAAAAAAAGGTGCATCTTTCAAATGCAATTAGGGGCATACTCCATTGGTGTAGCCTCTGAACTAGGATCCTGTTCTGAAACTGGTGGAATGATATCATCATCCTACACAAAAACCTCTTACAAGTGATAATGCATTCCAATAAGTCATGTCAAAGAATAAATACATCACCAAACCATAGAAATTATATAGACCTCGTCAATACGTATGGTAATATAAGGAGAGATTTGATCTGTCATCGTGATTTCCTCATAACTCTTGAGATGATTATCTGGAGATCTAAGAACAAAACTGTACATCAAAAATAAATTCTAAAACACACATGCACAAAAGAAAATTATAACTTTTTAAGTTACCCCTCAGGATCTAAATAATCACTCATGTCGAAGCCATCAAGGTTGAGGGTTGGTGGCAAAGTGATTGAATCAAATGTTGCTGTTGTGGCATTCTCTGGCAAATTAACTTCTATAGTAGTGAAAGCCTTGCTAAGCCCAACAAGAACAACAGTGCAATCTTGAAAGAGGTAATCAACTTTCTTCGAATATATCCGAACAACACCTAACAAAAGGTGGCCTGACGTTCTCAATGCAATCGGAACTTCCGGGAACATAATTCGATCTAAAACCACATTCATAAGAAGACAGAATTCAACAATAGCACTACGACTATCAACAATTGAGGTCAGTGATCAAAAGTAGAATAAAAAATTATTGATCAATTAACAGCAATAAGATCCAACTAACTGTAAATTAGAAATCAAGCAGTTTCATAAAAAATATTAGAAGAAATAAATAAACTTTATATATAAAAAAAAAACCTGTGAAGTCATATTTATTCACCGTAGTAGCAAAGATAATTTCTTTTACAAATTAATCTTGATTATAATTTATAAGAGAGAAAGAGAGAGAAATTTAGACCTAATAAGAAAAGAAAAAAATTAGACAAATATATTGGTTTTATTTGAAAACTAAAACCACAACATTGTAAGAACAGTAAAATAAAAATTGCAGCTTTTCCAAAACCCAGAAACAAAGATTCCAAAATTAATACCTTGAAAATTCATTCATTTTTACACTGTAATGCCCAGGAATGTTAATAATTATAATAAAATGAAATTTAGACCAAAAATCCAGCACAATTCATTGAAAAAAAAAGATGACATCTTTATACCACAAAATTGCTTAATATGTGAAAAAGTAAAACCCAGATTATAAAAAGCAAGAATGGCAAAAATAAGATAAAAAAAATCGATCATTTTAACAAAAGAGAGAGAGAACAGACCAACAGTGGAGGAGATATCAGTGGAGGTATAGTGAGATTTTTGAGCCTGTGTTGGAGATGAGCAGCGCACCAAACGGTCCCTAACGGACCCTTCCTTGCTAAGAACGTCTGTGAATAAAACATTTTCTTCTTCTTCTTCTTCTTCTTCGATTTTAGAGAGAGAGAGAGAGAGAGAGAGAGAGTGGTGCGTTTTCACTTATCAGAGCGAGTACTTGGGGCCTTATTCAGGGAATTAGCTTTGGCGCGGGAAACGATACTGAGCGCCAAAGGGAGGGAGTTTGGGTTTTCTTTTTTGGTAAAATGCGCTTCGCTTTGTGGTTATTTACTACTTCTGCCATTTAGTTGATGATGAGACCGAAACGACATGACTTGTGATGTGACGCTTCTTTTCAATCAGGCAAGACCTTGTCTTCGATTTAGAAGTCATCGCATAAATAAAATATAAAATAAGCTTTTAAATCAACGAAAATGGTAGTAAAAAATAATTTAGGGTCGTATTATTTTCATAATCCTACCGTCATTTTTTATTTTTATTTTTTATTTTTTATTTTTAGAATCAAAATCCTACCATCATTTTTTATTTTATTTTATTTTTAATGTTTTTGGAATCATAATCCTAACATTATTTCTTTCCTGTTTGAGGTGATAAAAAATTATCTAATACTTTTCGGAAAAAAAATCCAAAATATTCATTTTTTCTTAGTAAAGGTGTTAGTTTTTTTTTCATATTATATTTATTATAAACTAGTTTCTTATGAATCCATTAGTTCAAGCGTGAAAGATTTTGTCAAGACCTGATTGGAAACAAATTTAGTTTTACTAACCATTAATCTAACAATACCTTTATTGTTAAAATAAATGGGAAAAAAACCGCCGAAGAAGATTCTGGCAACACAATAAACGAAAAATAATGGCAGAGAAACGGACGTCTTTATTAATTGAGATAGTATCTTATAATTAGTGCTCATTCATTATTCTATTTTAATATTAGTAACTAGTATAAAAGTTGCATCACCATTTCACCAAAAAAAAAAAAAAAACAAATGTAATGTCATTAATATTGCAAATAATACATGATCATTACAATTTTCATAAAATTCAAATAAAAATGACAAGAATTATAATCCGTTCTAATCAAATAAAAAAATTATTTACTAATGCAAAAACGATTAATATTCTGAATAGCATCTCGTCCTCTCCAATTCATAAGCTTCTAAAAACTAAAAATAATTCACACAATAAATTACCATTTAAGCATTTACTCCTATCTAGCTCAAAATCAAATAGCATGTAATAAAATAATTTTGTTTTTATGTATAACTTTTTTTATTTGTGTAAAGGTTTTTCACATTTCCGACTTAATTTCCAATTTTATATATGCAAGGGCCCAACAACCAATATGCAAGCGTCGAGCTGCCATACGAAGACATGACTCAAGTATCAACCTCTTCCTACAGGCATAGGCCATGCCTACCTTGGAAATGCACCTAATTTGATTATTTGATTCAGAAGATGATAAAAATTACACATTCTTGTAACTAATCGTTGTAATTTTTCCCTTCAGCCAGCATAAACAAAACAAGTCGTGCCATTCTGGTTCTAAATTCATATTAGAACACATAAATAACCAGACTATGGTTAAAATCTGACCACCAGAATTTTTTATGAAGAGATGCCTAAAACTCAAACTTGTCCCCTGATACAGACTGAGTTCAGCCTTCATGTTAAGATAAAAAGGCTATACATAAAAGCAATAATTTTGAAAAATCTTGCAATTCAATTGACCTTTGCAACTCAAAAAAATGTCTCCACCTTACAAAATTGATTTACACAGTAACAAAGTGTTCCCCTTTATTCTTTTAACCTATTTTTGGTCGAGTGGACGGATTTATTTGAGGAGAAAAACAAAAGGGAAAAATATGGACCTATTGGGGTTTCAATGAAGGAAGCAGGCACTCATAAACCCGCTCCATACGAGATATCACCATGAGCTTGTATTCAGTTTGAAGGTGGGGCTTCCCTAGATCAATAATATCCTGTCTCAACCTGTTTAAACCATATTTCAAGTTAGCTCATACTCGCCTATACTACAGAGAAGGATGGGTACACCTCAGTGCCTGCAGCAAGAAATTTTGGATGATAAGTAAAAGTCAGAGATGACACTAACCATTGCCATTCACCAGTTGCTTTTGCATGCACCTCTACTGCATAGAATAGGCGATCCAGACTATGTAACATCAATCCAAACATGCATTGCGACTCTTTTTCCTGTAAAATACATGAAACACGGGTTAATATTTTTATATTCATTATGCATGGGCAACCACTGAACATGTTTGAATCCTGTAAAAGTGGCAGTGGAAAAAAAGAAGGCAGTATAAACATATCGTACTCTAACAAGAGCTCAAAGAGTGACCAGAAGTGCACAATCCCAAATTCAAATCTCTTATCAAGAGAGAAACATAACATCATGAAAGTTGCCTTATAAAGAGGCTGAAAAAAAATATAAGCCAAAATAGTCTATATTTTGCGTGCTGGTACCAACTCCAGAACTTTCAAAGAAAACACAGGTCATGGAGCAACTTGCAATTTTCTCTCCTTTTTTTTTTTCCCCAGTCATGCTTAAAAAAATAGCCCAGGATAGGAAATGCAAAGCAAAACACCATAAGTAAGGATAATGCTGCCACATTTCCCAGGACATTTTTAGCAGGTACATAAAAAGAAAAGATATTGACATCTCCAATGCAACCAATGTCCATTTAATTTTTCCCAACCTTCTATCTACTCAAAAAAGAATAACACGCAAGAACATAAACCTTGTTGTGCCTTCTGTCAAGTAGAAAAGATAAGAGACATGACTAATGCATGAGCATGACAGAAAAGCCGTGCCATTCTAGGGTTAAAGAAAACACTGAAAATTTTCATATAATGCAATAAATTTGATTTACGGTACGAAACTAATGAAAAAGATCAATAGATACTGAATAATTGAGGTGGCAGAGAGAACTAGGAAAACTAGTCCTAAAAAAATCTAGATTCAGATTCATACCAGCCCTTGGTTGATGTAAGTTTGATATTGCACAATTGCTTTCTCGACCTCCACTAAAAGCAGCCTCCTTTGGCGCCGGGCAACTCTGCCCCTTCCTTCCGCTCTAGTATCCTGATTCACATAACCAGAATTAGCAGCCACAGAATAAAAAACACGGAAGGAACAGGAGCCACGAAGGGGTTGTTACAGAATTTGATTGTTGATCTCATTAGATACTACATTTTTATTCAATATGACAGTTATTGTAAATGAACCACTCCTAACTTAAGGCTCAGGCATTATACTCTATGGAAGCTTAGAAAGTGTTATGCTAGGCTAAAACTAGTCAAAGCTATTTTAAGCCAAATGCAAAGCTCAATAAATATCTTCTGCCTCTTACAACAATCATGACATGCTTCCCTGGATTAAAAAATAAATCACCACTGTAACAGTAAGCATGGGAATTTACTCGAGTTGAACTTTGTCTTAGCTAATGCTAAGCATGCGCATTATAAATACAATTTAATTTCTATACCTGATAACAGATTAATTCTCTTAAAGAAGTGACCCTGAGAAAGATCAAAAGAAATATAAAGTTTCCTTACCCGTTTAAACCATGCACGCAATAACATTAGCAGAAGAAGAGAGACAAAAAAGGCCGGTAAGGCTGCAAGAATAGCAAAATTGATCTCATTTGCCTTAAGAATCTGATCCAGTTCAAGCATTGCCCTGTTTAACAATAAAGACAATTGAGCAAACAAGGGCAAGGAAAATTAATCTGTCCAGGCTACAAGGTCAGTGAACTCACGTCTCAATATCCAGTTTTAGCTTCTGAACCTGAAATAGCAAGAACACATTACAACATGGACAAAGTATAACAAAATAGCATATTAAAAATAGTCTGCAGTACCTGGATCAGCAAAGCATGAGCAAGCTCTCCCTTTAAAAGATTCTGAATAGGATGCATAAGTTCCTTTTCATACCTGTGTTTTAAACAGAAAAGCCAATTATTTTACTTTTCAGTCAAAAAAAAGAAAAGAAAAGAAAAGAAAAGAAATCTGCCAAAAAACATAGTCAAATCAGTGATTCCGTGTAATTAGCACTTCAAAATAACAACATGAAGTTAATAATTCTCTGTCCAAAGAAAAAATAATTTAATAATTCAGAGAGATTTTTAAGAGTACTAGCCCCTTCAAGAAAATAGACCTACCACCTTCCTAGTTAAATTTATCAAAAATATGATGTGTTTCTTTAATTGAAAGCAGATTTAACCGATGTAAGATTTGTCTTGTGCAATGCCTTCACCAACTTCACAGCAAATAAATGACTCAACCAACCTTTACATTTGACAAACATATATAATGCACATAAGGACATGGTGAAAATAGTTTCATTGATAAGTCATCCTTATTGTCATTGTCAATCATAAGAGCAGGCTCTTAACACAAAACAATAGGATTAGGAAAATAAGTGGATAATAACAGGAAACTAATCAAAAAATAGATAAATATTGGTTGGTTCCCCCTAATTTTCGATATTCTAGTGCTTCTCATGCACACTTTTCAACTTTCTGGTTCCCTTTCATTGTTCCTTGGATGTGCCATTTTACTATAAAAACAATAAGTCAGGTGCGTTGTGGCAAACTAGTAATTGTTTTAACCATTTCCTTGTGCTGTTATACACTTGAAGTTGATAATGGTATTTGTTGAATTATAATATCAAGGGTAATGATAATGACCCAGAATAAGTTTGGCAAAGAGCCTACCTGTCCATAACTATTTCAAGCATTTCCTGATCTGATGCATGTTCAGGGAGCTTTTGACCTTTTGTTTGCTCACCGAAATCCAATAACATCCTGCATCTCAAGCAAATAATTAAGTAAAGGTTAAGTGAAGATCATCCTAAAAATACTTTTAATAAAAATGAAAGAAAGAGATCATTATGGAAGCATCTTCTGTACAATGTGACCAATAGCGAGAACCCTTTTTGATTTGTTCCATACAGAGACATATGATGCCCTCTCCATTATATTTCAATGTTAATTTGCTTTTGATAATTCTTTTATCATGATGAACATGTTAAGTATTCTTCACCATTCTTGACCCCATCATTATTAAGCTTGCAGGTAATTTAGAAGCTATATCTGCATAAACATCTTCACCACTAAGGTGGAACGCATGATTGTAACTAAGGCACACGGCATCATTGTAGCTAAGTCCCAAAACATACACAGGATACTTTTATGAGTCAAGTACAATAACCTTTTTATATAGCAAATCATCACCGTGCAATATGATAAGAAATAGGTCAAAAAGTAATGGAAGAAAGTTTAACCTATGCAGCGAATTGGCAGTCAACTGCACTTCTTCTACCTCCATCACTCCTTTGTGTCTCTTCCTGAATGTATCAAAAAGTTCATCTCTAATGGACAGAAGCTGTTTGTAAATCAAGTTAAACACCATTAAATCATTTGAACAAATAATCCCTAAATAATAACGAATATGGAAATTATTAGGAGAAAAAGAAGTGTGTTTCCAACACTTGTTACAAAATGCCTTCATCTGAATATTCAAAGGGATCCACAAGAAATGGGAGGATACCAAAAGCACACTTGAGGGCCTACATGTCCCCTGGAATATCCAGCTTTTTCTGAGATTTCAACATGAAGAAAACCCCATATTTACACATTGGCCAAATATTGAGTTAATGAGAAATTTGGAAATGATTGCTAAAATCAAGCATTGGATCTTACTCACCACATTAATACATACACTTTCCTCATCATCACAACTAGTTATTCTACAAAAAATACAATTATAGAAAAGAGCAATCTTGGACATAAATTTTTTTCATTTTTGCCTGGTCCACCCACTAGAATGCTTTATGAGTTTCAGTAACTTTAAGCAAGAAGATTTTTGGGTAGTTTCTAGATTTTCAGGGCATGGGCTAAAAATAATGCTGATCTCATCAGTGTTTAAATTGGCTCAAGTTTTTTACGGAAAAAAATGCATGTGTTTAGAAGTCCAGAATTGAGTTATACAGGTCAATCACTAAAACCTGAAAGTTTCAATATATCCCAATAGAATCAAGTGTTAGGACTGCTGATAAGCCCGTATACATCAAAGTAAGCGGGACTACTCCATCTTGTCTCCAACTATACATAAGATTCGCTAGCCATTAAATACATTTTACAGTGAATCTTAAAACCTAAATCAAAATCATATACTACATATGAGCATTCTTTGATAAATGATTGTAGAAAACTTCACTTCCAATTAGTTCTCATACTGTTGGGTTTGATAGCTATGGCAATTCAATTAAAACCCTTGAGGTACAATGTCACATCACTTTTCATTGCCATGAACAATGCAGTTTAATGAAATTTTCACTTTAATTTGTTGATACTATGCTCATCTTTGATTGATATCAGCATCAATGATACTTATTTCGTTGATATCCAATCAATTGAGTACTTGATATCTTCATCAAAATTTCTTTTATGACCTACATGTTTATACCTGCTAAATATCCCAAAACTGTGCACAAAACACAAGGGCTGAATCATATATCCAAAGGTCAGCTGACTTTTTTAAAATTTTGGAGGGAACAAGACTACAAATATCACAAGTCCCTGAAACCAAACCTTTAAAGCATAGACCAGAGCATTTAGGTTCAGAGAAACCTAATGAGAAGACCAAGTTAGAGCATACCGGTTGCTCCACGTGGTCATTAAAGAAGCTAACAGTTGAGTCCTTTGCTTCACGAATCCAATTGTCAATATCAGGACTTCCCATAAAACGACTATGCCGAAGGAGCCACAAGGAACAAAACGACAGGCCAACTGCACCACATGTGTAGCGAATCCAGTACTGGGATATTTTACTTGGCTTTTGGTGTTTGGAAACCTTAGAAAAGGAGAGAAAACATATATATCTCAAAAAAGTTGGCCAGCCATTAGGCAATAATTATTCCCAAAAAAAAAAACAAAAAAGAAGAGCAATCAATCAATCAGGATAAGCAAGTCAATTATAAAATTGTAGCCTACAGAAAGCACTATTACCATAACAGATAAATAGGAATCCAATTTCTCAAGATTTTTATAAACAGCATTGATGGCATCACTGATTTCACAATCAGTCCACTGAGACCCTTCTTGATTAACTTCTGGTGGTTTCTCGAATACTAATGGAAATGAATAGCTTCCTTCAACAGACGAATCAGTCTGCATATCATTTATGAGAAAGTGAAAAGAAAAAAAAAACAACTGTTGTTAGGATGAGAAGAATAACATGCAAAAATCAATAGAGAATTCATTGCCTCAAGGGTGACAAAATTGCAATCGTCACATTTTAGTTTCTCTACCTGACGTATTGCATGCAGATGGCCAATTGATGCCTCCAAATTTGAAAATAAACCATTAATAGCTGCTAGTAATGATGGAAAAGACTTCTCTGGATCCTTCACTAACTGCTCTCCACATCTGTCAACTTCCATGTAAAGCTACAAGTGAAAAGAAGCAAACACAAAGCTTATTGATGTAGTTATTAACATCCATGAAGAACTACATTACTGGAAAGAAAGTTGATGTGCGATCACAAAAAATGTCCAACAAGTCAACTTGGAGAGATCATGCTAAATAGCCCACCTCTTGCTAGAACATAATGCATCAAGCTTACATTTCATAGAAAGTAAAATCAATTAAGAGTTTTCTGATTACTGATGAAGTGCAAGTTCATATTCAAGTCAAAAAATATGTAGTAATCATCTCTAAAGAAGAAGAAGAAAGCATCGAGCAAACCTCTGCCAAAAATGTAGCAATGGCACATCTTAAGTTGCTTAAGGTAACTATCCTCTCAGAAATATGAGCAGAAGCAGAATGACTTAGATGCTGCATAGACGAACCCTCGACAATGCTTTGACGCAAAACCTGAGCTGTTCCACCAATGAAAGCCTGTGGCCCTCTCTCGAAAAGCATAAAGTATAATTTCCGAGCATTAGATGCCTGCAATTAGAAAAGAACGGAGAGAACTTACCAAAAAAGTAATTTACTAATGTGGTAAGCAACAAATACAATGGGCATGGTACCAGTACCTCGATTAAAGGTTGCCAAAATTGCAAATTCTTTTGAATGTTGTGCAAATGTATAAAAATATGCCCCATGATATCCTCCAAAACATCATATACTCTTGACGGCTCTGTCCTAACCCTGCAAGTATGCAAAAAACATCATTTTAACAATTTCTAGATTTAATATCTAAATTTTTTTGCATAACCCCAAAATAAATAAATAAACAAATTATTAAACATAAGGATTTATAAAGTTAAATAATTAACTAGGTAAAATCATTCCCATCTTCATTATTTATCAAAACAGTAATTTGAAAATTTTTCATAAAATATTTTTAATTCACAATTAAAAAGCATTAATTTCTAATCAGCATTCATAAAGGTCAATTTCTGACATTCAATGGTAGCAATTTTTTACAACATAATGCATAAATAGGAAAAAAAACTCAAGTAAATAAATAATTTAATCAATGATTAAACAGAAAAAAGATCAAAATGTAAAAAAAAAAAAAAAAAAAAAAGGAAAGAGAGTTAGAGAAAGAGTAAATACAGGGAAGAATCAAGAGTGTTGGAAGGGAGGGGGAGAGGGAGGCAAGCCTTGCGTCTTCTACGAGGAAAAGCGACACGTCGTCCGGTTTGAACCAAGAGATTGGAAATTCTGGAGAGAAAATTGGAGGAATCATCAAAAGAGAAGGGAATGAGAGTGGCAAGTCGGTTGCGGAGATAGTGAGAGTAGAAAGAGAGAAGTCTTTTATGCTTATTGGTTTCGGTTTCGTCTTCTTCTTCTTCTTCTTCATCTTCGTTCTTCCGTCGATACTCGTCCAACTCCATGGATGTTAAGCTGCTACTTCTCTTTGTGTTTTCTCCTGTTAGTTTCGTTTTGGTTTCAAAAAATAACGCCGCTATCGAGTTGAATGTGACGAATCAACCATACGGGATCGACAATCTTTTCGTGGTTAATTTACCAAATACCCCTTCCATCGACCTTTGAGAAAAATGAAACAAAATTTATGTTAGGACTTATAGATTAAATAGAGAAATGATCAAATTTATTCCTTAGAATCTACCCCGAAATTCGAAGCTTGATTGTTGAAAAATGTATTTGCAATTACAAAATTGGTATTTTAATTGAAATTTTTGTATTTTCTTTCTTATTGTTTGTTCACATCAAAATCTACCCATTAATTAATTAAAGCTGTTGTGATGTTATTGTTGTATGTTTGCTAATTAAATGGCTATTTTGTGAAATACAAATGAAACTAAATTTATATTAAACTTGATCATTAAAAAAAATTAACAAATAATTTCAACCTTTTCAAATGATAAAATAAAATAACTAACTTTAACCTTGATAAACTAGAAGAAATTAACAAGCTATTAAATTTTTAAAAGGTCAAAAGAATTGTCTTCTATAAAGATTTTATTTTTTTTTACTTTTGAGATATTTTAAATTTATAAATTCATGTTAATCTCTTGATATTTTATCCGACGTATAAAATAGATATAGTTATTCAAAGAGTTTTTACGCACATAAAAACTCGAATTCAAAATTATTTTTTTAAAACAATTAAAATTCTTTCGACTCAAATCAATTTTTTGAGGATAAGATTTTAATTCTTTTACAAAACTACGAATTGTTCTATTTCTCTCGAGAGATGGTCAATTTTTTTTACTATCTCGTGTTACGACAAGAACTGGCGGCGAAAAAAAAATATGATAATGATTATTAATGCGGACATTATTATCGGCCCATACAAGATAATAGCGACAATGCTAATAGAAATGGCAAGTGATGATAATGGTGACATATTGCCCATATGCCCTTTTAACCACAATGCTAATAGAAATTGAGATAGAGATCAACCCAATAAGCAATGCTTATTGAAAAAGAAAGGAAAAAAAATGAGATAATCAAAAGCAATGCCTCAAGATATGGGGAGCATTGTTTCGACATTCATTTAAGCTATGAAAATGCTAAAGAGGAAACAAACTACAGTTGCAATCTAGAAAAGAAATAGCTAGATACAAACATTTCACTAATGGAGTCATTTTCACGAGATATCATGATATAAAGTGAAATACCACCTACCCGAAGCCTTTTTTATTTGCCTTCTAGCATATTCAAGGACAAAATAATCTACATGATTGGAGAGAGACTATATTCCAATCCTTTTGACATGTACGAGATATTTTTCAAACACCAAGCACACAAGCGAGTTGAGGCAAATCCATAACATATGAACATCGCATTCCAAAATCGGAAAGTAGTATCATATCAATCTCACCAAGCATGGAGAAGGAGGACTCAAGTAACAAAAACTATCGCAATGCTATCGGAAAATAGTATCTTACCAAAACCATTAACTTAGAAAATGATGACTCAAATAACAAAACTAATGTGAAAATCCCACATTTAAATTTGGTTTAGATTTAGAGTGGCTTTCCCTTTAGAGAGGCAAGAATCATCAATCGTAGGTACAACAAAATATTTGATGTACAAATACAATTGAAAGTAAAGCAATATCATCCACTATATTATATCAATTATCCATTAAACATCTTAATGATGTTGATCTAATAGAACTAACAAGCACTATGTTAAAACATTTGAGCAAATCCATTCCAATGTATATGTTGTTAATAAACACGAAACAAAGAATTTTGACAAGTAAAAACAAGTAAATGAACTGCAAAACTCTATTTTTCTTATTGAATATGTCCTTCTTAAATATCGTAAAAAAAATAAAAATTCTACTAATAATAAGACATGATTAACAATTCTTCCTATAATTAAGTCATAACACTTATAACAACTAATTTCCTCAAGACTTGGTCTTAAAACACATTTAGCTTAACCAATTCTTTAGCTCTATTGTAGTACATATCAGCTCATTCTCACACAATAGCCTTATCGGCATTTCATGTCAACAAATATAGAGCATGTCTACAAAACTCTTCCTTGCCTCAAGAATCGCAAAGTCCTAATTTGCTTCATAAAGCTTCAAATCTAACTTTGGAGAGGATTTTGGTTAAAATATCTACAATTTAATCCTCGGTTCCGCAATAAAGTAGATTGACTTCACCTTCTTTTTGCACTTCTCTTAAGAAATATTGCTTGATATATTGTTTGATCTTAAAATGTTTAATCTTATCATGAAAACATGATTATTTGAGATTGAAATTACGACCTACTTATCTATCGAATCTCTCGTTAGTTCTTTTTGCTCCATATGTAATTCGTAAGTGTCTTCCTAAGCTAAAATGCTTGATTTACTTATAGATTTACAACACTAGTGGTCGCCACATACTCGACCTCTTCGTGCTCTAAGCATCATGGAAACAAAAGCATATCGTGTTCCTTATGCCATCAATAAAACCTATTCAATCACTATTAGAATAACCATGAAGCTTAAAATACTAACAATAGGAGTATTTGATATCATAATTAATAGTACCATTGACATATCTCATAATCCTCTAGATATCTTGAAAGTGCACTTCACTAGCACAATGCATAAATCTTGAGAGCACACTCATTACAAATATGATGTCCGGTCTAGTTGTTGTGAGATATATCAAACAACCAATCGAGCTCTTGTATTGTCCTTCATCAATTTTATCTCGCTCCATCATCTTTGCTAAATTTCTTCTTCGATTCATAGGGGTATTTATGCATTTGCAGTTCTCCATATGAAATTTCTTGAGTATTTCCCTTGCATAGTTCTTTTGGTATATGAAGATTCCATCATGTTATTGCTTTACTTCCATTCCTAGAAAATAGGACATCAAGCCAAGGTATGTTATTTCAAAGATTTTGATCATTTCAACTTTAAACTTTTTTATTAGCTCTCGTCACTTTTTGTTATAAAAAGGTCATCCTCATAAATATAAACTATGATAAGATCAGCATTAATTCCTTTCACATACAATGTAGCTTTACTAAGGCTTTTAACAAAGCTAATACTCAATAAGTATTTGTCAATCTTGTTATACTAGGCCCTAGGAGCTTGCTTTAGGCCATACAAATCCTTGTTTAGCAAGTAAACCTTCTCCTATTGTCTCTTGACTTGGAAACCTTCTAGTTACTCCACAAAAATCTCTTTCTATAGATAACCATTAAAAAAAATAGATTTTACATCTAACTAGTAGACCTTCCATCCTTTATGTGTCGTCAAAGTAAGTAGCATTATGATTGTATCAAGTCGCACCACTTAAGCAAAAGTCTTTGAGAAATCTACTCCAAAAACTTAAGTATACTCCTTCATAAATAATCCGGCCTTGTGTTTATTTATAAAACCATCCGTATTGAGCTTGGTTCTATCAACCCACTTGACCCCTATAGTTTTTTTTTATATTGAGGCATGTCCATCAACTTTCAAGTATCACTTTTTTCAATCATTTTAAGTTTTTTCATTGCTTCAATCCATTTGTTATCCTTCTTTCCTTCTTTAAACTCTACGAGTTTAAAAATAACAATGTTACACCTTTTATAAATATCATAAAATGGTTGTGTACTTTTTATTGGTATTTCATCTATATTATCATCGAATTTTGCAAAAACTCTGAGTACCTCTTATTTATTGACTCTTCCTAAGTCCATTGTCTATCTTCTATAAACTTGACATCTCTACTTTTAAGAATCTTCCCATTTTGTAGTTAGAAAATTCTATAAGCCTTGGATGAGCTAATGTGTCCAATAAAGACTTCGGTTCGCCTTCTTGTTAAGTTTGTCTTTCTTCACCTATTGTACATAAGAAAAACATATCCAACTAAAGGTTCTTAGATGTTGTAATTCGGATTTATAGCCAAACCATATTTCAAATGGAGTTTTTGTCCGTATGGCTTTTGTTGACAATCTATTTAGTAGAAAGACTATTGTGTTTATAGTCTCCGCCCATAGTTTCTTTAGCGAGTTCCTTTTCATACAGCATGCATCTTGTCATTTCCATTATAGTTTATTTTTTCTTTCATTTACTCCATTCTTCCATGGAGATAAGGTGTAGTAAGTCGATGTTAAATACCAATGTCTTCATAAAACTTGTTGAATATATCAAAAGTGTATTATTTCTTCCCATTGTTCGACCTTATCACCTGTATCTTGCACTCACTTTGATTTTTCACCCATGCTTTATATTTCTAAAATACCTCGGTAACATTATATTTGAATTTGAGAAAGTATATCCAGCAAAATCTTGTATAATCATCAATAAATACAATGTAGTACTTAATGTCATTTAAAGATGATATTTTTTGAGGTCCTTCAACATTTGTGTGCACTAGTTGAAGCTTGTGTGATGCACTCAATGTAGTTTGAGAGAAAGGGATTTTGACTTGCTTGCCATACCGACGAGCCACACAATCTGCTAGCCTCTCTTCAAGTCGAGTACCCTTTATACTAAATCATGTTTATACATATACAAAAGTCCAAGCATGATGAAATTGTTCTAGCTTTCTATGCCATAATTTTGCATTATTCATACTGCTTGGAAAGGCTATTCACTCCTACTCTATTAGATTTAGAGCAAAGCTTTTCCCTCTCATCTTCACCTTGAACACGTCTTTACCTTCTCCATCTTTGATCATGCACCAATTTTCTTCAAATAAAATTTTAAAGCCCTTCTTAAGCACTTAAAAAGTTGTTATCAATGTCAAGCACATAAAAAACATCGGTTATATATTTCAAACTTGTTAGACTCTTTATAGCCACGGTTCCTTCATTTTTTACTAAAATGCATTCACCATTCCTAACTCGACTTTAGAAATAATAGTTTTATTTAGCTCTCTAAAAAGCTCTTAGTCATTGGTCATATGGTTTATGCAACCACTATCAA